TCGCCTCCTGAATCCCCACTCCATACCAAAGGTCCTGGAGTATATATAAAACTTTTTATGTCTATGTTTATTATGTTAATGATGGTACTCTGGAGTTGTATCTATATTGTATACATACTTTTATAATATCACATGATTATAACTGTCATTGAGAGTCAAATGAAAGCGAGGATCACAGAATTATTATCTTGAGTAATGTAATCTTTTTTAAACCATTTTATCTAACTTTAATTCCTTAAACTTATACTGTGTACGATAGGAGAGAGCTAGAAAAAATTTATTTGGATATAGACCAATCAAATAAGGATTAAAGGTTTGATTAATTACATGCAATCAATGAGTAGAATATTTATTGTAAATTAAATAAGCCCTGGAGCCGAACGGGATATATCCCAAAAGCTCCTACGGGCTCACATTATGCCTGTTGAATGGAGTTTGAATATAGCTGCAATAAAATAACATCCGTCTCCTAAACTACATAGGCTGAATGGAGTTTGATTAAATTGGCCAGCGTGTTTAAATTTAGATTGTTACAATCGGCCGACCCTCGTGGCTTTATAATGTATGGCATCATACTATAGAGAACTATCTTACACTTCGAAATGGTAAATAAAGAAGGCGTGATTTACGTCTACACTTCGTGAATATATTGAAACTCGCGTGCAGAAGTGTATATTTCTTTTTCTTCGGTAAACTTGTTAAAAGATAATATTGCTACTTTCAACATAGTTCATTAATGTAAAATTAATAATTGATATTGAAAGTATTAATCAATTTATTCGTGCGCAAAGAAATGTGTCAAAATACTATACATTTCGATTTCTTTGTAAAATAATTTGATAGTTATAAAATTGGAACGCGTTTAAGCGCCCAATGTTATAAAGATAGATTTCAATTGTAATATGACTTTACTACATTAATGAAGATAGTACAGTATACAGAATTCTAATATAGAAGAAGGAAATAATATATTCACGTTATTCCGGTAAAAGGTCATCGCCAAGTTCTTCATCTCCGAAATCGTCATCCCTTTTTCCAGCGGATGTCATAGGGCGAGTGGGTAAAGGACCTATTGGATCTACATATGGAGTACCTACACAAAATGCTTGATATGTATATTGCGCTTAAAAGTGAACTGGTCGCGTTATCTACTGTGCTATTACATGTAATTTGAAATAAATTAATGATTATAAGTACAAGTCTGAGAGGTACTATTACAGACAGCGCGGGAATAGGCTGTTCAAAATAGCCAGACTCATCTATCATCTGTTCAATCCATTAGTGCTGTACAACCATCATCCATAGATCATTCTTGTTAATGCTCATTTGAAATAAAGCTACGCAATTCTAAAGCGTCGATAAGTATCAAATGTTTGACGCTTATAAAGAGAATATAAATAAACATATTTTATATAAAGATTGAACATTCTGAATAATTCTCATCAATATTGTAAAATGGCTATGAAAATGTAGAGAAGAAGAGATACATACTTATAACTTAAGAATGTAGTGATTATGTATGTGATATGATATGTACATGATATGTAAGTGAATATCTTGTATAATAATTTTGAATTTTTTTATTAACACATACCTGTTCGATCATTTGAATCAGCTGTTACTTCTGCATAATTCTCAGCTGTAGATATTCGATTAGATCTCGAAATACCAGCACTACTTAAACCTTGATTATCTTTTCTACCAAGAACAGGACTTGATCTATGATCTGATAATATACTCATTCCGGAACCAGTCCGTGATGATGCCCCGCTATTACTTCTTCTTGAACCTAAAAGCAAATATGATTGCATTCGTTTGATACATTTGATATGCATTTAAATGTATGTGAAGAATACCTGGCCTTGCTGAACCTTGTCTATCTTTTATTTCCTTTGCCTTTTCAACGCGTTTTAACTCTGTTGCATACAATTGTGCCTCTTTTAAGCCAAGATCGCTACATAATCGAATTAAAAACTTCAAACATTCAACGTTATCAGGAAACTTCTCATGGATATCTTGATACTCCAGTAGAGCTTTGTGAAATTGACCGGTCCGCCTCAAGCACGCAGCGACAAGCAATCTCCACCTTGGCTCATCGGGAGCTAACTCTACTGCTTTCTTGAAGTATATCAATGCTTTCTCAGCTACCTGAAATGTATCACTTGCATTTTGTGTACTCATATTAAAAAATGCAGATTAAAATCTTTACCTGCATTGATACAAAGTATGATCCAAGCCAGTCAATTACTTCGAAATTTGCAGGAAAATATCTATAAGACTACAGAATAAACATTTAATGACTGTGTGAGACATGGTGAAATACAATAAACCAACTTACATCACTATAAAATTGATATGCTTGCTGTTTATCACCAGCAGCATCATACATTTCGCCTAATTTTTGTAACACTCCAGGATCAGATGGTATGATACCAAGTAATTGATTGTACCTAACATATTTCAAAATAACGTTTAATACTATATATTCTTAACGAACTAATATAAAGAATATATATATTTCACTAAATCGTTGTACCATTCCGCAGCTTGGTCTACGTCGTTCATAAGTTGATGCAAATGTCCAAGTTGGTATAATGTTTGTGGGTCGTGTCTGACCATATTACGAACCTTCCAAAAACATTCCAGAGCTTCTTCATACATGCTCTGCTTTTTATAGACTAATCCTATTGATTAAATTTTTATTCACTACTTAATAAGTAAATTTGTGTCTGTTATTAAAAATTACCTAGGTTATACAGAGCCTGCACGTGACTGGCATCTGTATCCAATGCACACAAGAGAAGCTCTCTAGCTATCTGGAATTCACCCTTTCTGATTGCACAAGCTGACAAATTTACATACGCTGCTGCATTGTAACTATCTGTATTTCGTGCAATTTCTCCGCATCTTTCTGCTTGTTCATAATCTCCTTGCTATAAATTATGTAACAATCGTTTGTGTTTCCCTCAAAAAAATGGACTTACTAAAAACAACAACTTACTAAAAAGTAAATAAATGAAAGCATGGTCGCAGCTGCACTATTAGCTTTACTTTCTCGGTTTTCAAATACTTTTAAGGTATCAATAGCAAGTTGTGTTTCTCTGTTATGTAAGAACACCATAGCTTTATTTATCTCCAAATCAGCGGCCAGAGGTCCATAAGCTGAAGATTTTATAGCATCTACACACCTTTAAAAAACGTATTTATAATAAATATAATAGAACGCAATAATAAACAGTATACAGATTTATATTTTTAAAACTTTACCAAGCGAATCCAGCTGTAAGTGTGTCTTCAATAACAGGTGCTATTAATTTAGCCGCGTACAGTATAGTTCTTTCAGCTTCTGATTTCAATTCTTTTTCTAATTTAGATAAATCATCATTTTTTAAAATCTCATTTAATATATTAGAAGTCACATCATCCTGTAAAATATATGAATAACATTTCAACATAGAATACAGTAAATATTTCATATTGTGTTCAGTGCTCAGTGATTTATTATTAACAGAATCATAATTTCCAGTTACTACATAAAAGTGCTTAAAGTGAATAGTTTGACAATTAAAGATTTGTTTTTTTTTAGTGTACTTTAGAATAGAAAATAAATACTTGTTTCGTTATTAAATATGGGCAATAGGCAAAACAATACTGTTTACATTATGATATTCATAAATATGCCCAACTCACTGTACTTATACTATATCTGTCCTCCTGATCTATGTTAAGCTGAACTTCTAGTAATTCTAAAAATGCTCTTTTCATTTTATCCCTATGAGATAATGCAAAATGACACAAAACAGCATGCAACCCCGCTTTAAATTCAGCTCTTTCTTTCATAACCCACTCAAAACTATTAGCAGCTTCTTCCAAACGACCCATTTGCACAAATAACATTCCAATATTATGCATTATTTTTATTCTGTGAATTATTTATTGAATCAATATTAGTGTACATAATAAATATGAAAATTTAGACATAACTGTTCAATAATTTACGTTAATAGATACTATTATTTCATTACCTTAAATCTTTATGAGCAGCTGGAGCTTGATCATATGCCATTCTATACATTTTAATTGCTTGAGACAACTGTCCCATTTTAACATATATATTTCCCATATTCACTTTAAGCCTAGCACTGTTACTGAACATTCTATTCCTTGTTATGGCTTGATAAGTAGCAATGGCTTCGGTAAACATATTATTATTGGTATACTGAGTCGCTAAATTAAAAATAACCTAAAAAATTATATATTTAATATATTTAATCTCTTTTTTTCAAATTCGTAAAAAAACTTAATCCATACAGCAAATGTTAAGTCTACATTATGGTTGTCGCTGAGTCCTGCCTGTTCTTGTAAACGAATTAAAGCTCTTTCTCGTGAAGATGCTTCCCTAGCTCTTTCTAGAGCAATTCTCATATTATTTTCATATGCTGCCTCTACTGAGCTTTCTATTAATTCCATTATCTTCCTTTCAGCTACTCTTATCTTCTCTTCTGGTCTGTAAAAATAAAATGATAACATTTCCTTTTGAAGTTTAAATACGCATTAAGTAATTAATTTATAAGGATCTTACGTATCCTCTTTTCCACTTTCTAAAGGTGGTGCAGCTCCTTTAACAGTATTTCCCATATTGAGTGGATCAAAAGTTTGACGACTGCTACTGGTATAACCAGCACCTCTGACTGCAGTCATTGGACGAATTCCACTAGTAGTTGGACGTCCAGATACACTAGTACCAGACCTATGAAACTACAAAACATTAAAAATAATTATAATACTGTTATATTATTGCATGGATACACTGTTAAAATCACTTACACCAGTTGATGTACCCAAACGCATAGCAGTTCCAGGTACTTTTGGGGTAAACTAACATATAGAAAAACAATGTTTTTATAGTACTTAATAAATATCTTCAACGATTCTAAAATACATTTCTAATTATTTACATACTACTTATTATTACTTACAAGTGATCTCCTTCCATAACTTGTACTAAGAGCTTCATGAAAAAATTCATCTTGCTCGAGATCCTTAATACTATATACTGATGGATAATCGTTATACCCATCATAAATATCATCATTCATTTGTGTGGTACTCATGTTTCTGTGTAAATTAAATAAATTAAGAATTCAATAAATTATATACATTAAATAAATTAAAGTGGTGCAATATATCCCTTAACTTAAATGAACAATAACATTTTTAATATAATAATAAATCGATCTATATTAATATATTCTTATTTTTAATTTTGGTATAAACACAATTATTTTAAGAAGCACAATGCATACAGCACATACAATAAAAGAGTACTTAAATACGCTGTTATTAATGTGTTCTGAATAGTAATTAAACTTGTCCAGTTACATCTATTTTTATCTTAAACATATAAATTCAATTATTATACATTTTCGTAAAAAATTCAATTAAAATATATTATAAACTCAAAATTTCATTTGTATTTAAATCATTTTACTCAATTTTAAATGTTAATATATTACATAAAAAAACCATATGCATAGAGATGCAAATTACATGCAGTTGCAGTCAGTAACGGGACCTAACATTTATTGGTTGGCAATGTAAGCCATCCATCGTACTTTAGGCGACTGATCTATAACACTAGAAAGATGAAATTTCATAGTTACTTCATGTAAAAAGAAGTATTCTAATGACGTATTTCTGGCATTTGGAAGGTTTACCCCGTTTAGAAATCTAATTGAAAGATATAAATTTACATAATTTTACGTTGGCAGTTTGATAAGAAAAACTGATTTTATTGTCTCCCAGAAGGCGGGGTTGCTTTCTACAGCAGTGTACTAGATAACCTGTTCGGCCGAGCCAATAATGTTGATAAATATTCGAATTTGACATGTGTTACGTGATAACAGATAAGTTACAGAACACAGAATCATGTGAAAACAATTTTAATCGTTGACGACACCCACGCAATGCAGTTCAAGGCTGTATTTGTAATGTGATCTTGTAAAAAGTAAATTAAAGTGATTTCAAGAAAATGACAACTGAGCAGAGCGGACACGATCATTCCCTTGCGATCCGACAAGAAATACAACGTTTCGAAAGTGTGCATCCGTCGATATATGCTATTTACGACTTAATAGATCTAATATCTGACACACATATTGCAAAACAGATTCGCGAACATGTTGTTGCAATCGAAGGTACAATATGTAATAAAATTTTAAAAAGCATTTATATATTTTTTTATTTTCTCATTTATTTTTCCTTTCTTAAATCATTCTATATTATAGATTCGTTCGTTAATAGTCATGAATGGACATTGGCTAGAGATGTGCCAGAATTACATTTAGGAATCATCGGTTCGTCTGATTCAGGAAAATCCGCTTTAGTTCATAGATATCTGACTGGTTCATTTATGCACGAAGAATCTCCAGAAGGTGGTCGTTTTAAGAAAGAAGTCTTTATCAATGATCAAAGCTATCTTTTATTAATTAGAGATGAGGGTGGAGTACCAGAATCACAAGTACATAAAAAATACATATTATCTTAATTAATCAATGTATCCACATACATATGTATCATATGTATCGTACGTATCATTTGATAACATTGTTTCAGTATTTAACCCAGATATCACTTATTTCAGTTTTCTGCTTGGATAGATGCTTTATTACTTGTATTTAGTTTAGAGAATGAGGAAAGTTTCTCAATAGTTTGCAGTTTCTATAATAGAATGTGTTCATTTCGAAATATGTCAGAAGTACCAAAAATACTTGTAGGAGTGCAAGGTAAATCGAGCATTTTGTTTATTTGTATAAAATATACTTTATAGTATGATTCGTTTATATGCCCTAACATATACAAAGTAATTTAGTATTACATAATATATATATTCTTTTTTTCATATTATCTAGATTCAATTAACGATTCTAATCCCCGAGTTATAAAAGATGTTAGACCTCGAAAGTTGGCATGTGATCTAAGGTGTCCTTATTATGAAACATGTGCTATTTATGGTTTAAACGTTGAAAGAGTATTTCAAGATGGTAAGTATGGTAACATTAATATTAGTGTTTAATATTTTGTTAAAATGATAACTTATAGCATAATCACTTGCATGCAAAAGAATTAAACTTTTTCGATTGATATTTGTTGTATTCTTTTTTTCCTATAACTATTGTTATCCTTCAGTGATTTTAATGATTATTTTGAGAGTATTCTGAATATTACAGTGTGTCAAAAAATTATACAACATATATCCACAAAACATTATCGATGTAACGGACAAGATGTGACAGATAATGAAACAAAGTATCTTGTTCCAATGATTGCCAAAAACGTACAGCTCCTAGCCAAAGATACGGAAGCAGGAAATTCATCAAAATTGAATGTGAGATACTTTACTCTAATAAAAGTAACATAAAATTTGTATGTAATCGTTTGGTTTCTCTACAGACATCTGACAAAGAAGAAGATACTAGATCTCTGCACAGCAGTTCTACACAAAATGATTCAGGATCAGTAAGTGATAATTTTCATAATATACAAAATCAGCACACTGATCTCAGATCTTCAATCTTAACTCCAACCACTATAAGGTATAGTTATTCTTTGTTTAAATCTATAATTTCATCAAATTCAGTAACATATAGACTCATTTATGTGCCTACACTGCAGAAAATTTAGGAGAAAATCTAATATTTTTACACCATCAAAGAAAGAAAAATACAATATGGGTGAAATGGGTGTTGGCAGAGAAATACCTGTAAAACAGGGATACTTATTTAAACGCAGTAGTAAATCATTGAAGGAATGGAAGAAGAAATATGTTACATTGCTGGAAGATGGTCGTTTAACTTATCATTCTAGTTTACACGTAATTATTATTAAATTAAAAATTAAATATTTTTTATTGTTGTAGTAAATTTTGTCTTCTAATACTATATAGTATTTATTACTCAGGATTACATGAATGATACCAATGGTAAAGAAATATTGTTACAATATGTAACTGTAAAAGTGCCTGGAAAAACGCCTAAGGGTTCCAAATCATCCAATGCTCAAGGTACATACCAGATGAAATTATTAGTTTTAATTAAACTAATTTAGTAAACTTGTATTTTAATTTACAGAAGATAGTTTTGAATTTTCGATAATTTCATTAGAAAATAAGACTTGGCATTTTGAAGCAAATAATGCTGAAGATAGAGATAGTTGGATATCTGCTATAGAGCAACAGATTCTTTCAAGCTTGCAGAATAGTGACGGCGACAAAAAAAATGAAACTGATGCTTTTAAAATGCATTGTATAAAAAATAAAGTATCAGGGAATGATGCTTGTGTAGATTGTGGAGTATCTAGTAAGTGATAAATCCACAACGAATTTAGTATTTTGAAGTAGTACATTTTTTAATACTCCTAATAATATTTTAGATCCGGATTGGGCTAGTTTAAATTTAGGTGTATTAATGTGTATCGATTGCTCAGGAATACATAGAAATTTAGGTTCACACATTTCGAAAGTTAGGTCATTGGATTTAGATGATTGGTCGTAAGTGCGATAACCATTTTATTATAGACAATTTTCTGTAAATTCAAATAATTATGTTACTAGTAATATACACATAATTCGATTTTGATACAATTATATAAATTTCTAAAACCATATTTTTAGTTGCACATGTATTGTTTTATAGTATAAAATAGCTGTTATTACCTTTAGCGCAGGTCAATTAAGCGTAATGTTAGCTCTCGGTAACGACATAGCGAATAGTGTTTGGGAATATTGTTTAAATGGGAAGCAAAAACCGACTTCAGATTCCTCTAGAGAAGAAAAAGAACAATGGATCAGATGGAAGTATGAAGACAAAATCTTTTTACCACCAATTAATCCAAATATTTCTTTAGGAAAATTGCTTATTGACTCGGTTTGCCGGTAAATATTTTTCTATTTCAGTGCATTATAGCTATTATAATAAATTCTTAGCTAATTTATCTTATATGTGAAAAATAATACAGGGGTGACATGAGAGCATTTACATTATGCTTGGCCAGATGTAGTTACGAAGATATTAATATGTCTGTTAGTATGGAAGATTTAAGGACACCGCTCCATTTGGCTTGTGCCACAGGAAACTTAGCTATGGCACAACTATTGATATGGGTGTGTGTGATTCTTTTTATCCCAGTATAGTACATAAATATTATAAGAAGATATAATGTGTCAGTACATTTATTAAACCATTACAGCATAAAGCAAATCCACATAATTTAGATCACGAAGGACGTACGTGTATGTCATATGTACGAGCTCTTGAAAGAACACTTGACAATTCGTCGGATTCTATGGAAATGCAAAAGCTTCTCGAAGTTCTAGAACAAGCTAGTGTTTCTGGAGTAGATGACGCAGAAACGTCACAGTATTAAAACTGTTCACGTCACGTACTTATTGCATGTGAAGCCATGCTTCGATTAATAGCTTATAGTTGATATAACTTTTTTCATTAACAGTACTGATACTCAGAAAGACAACCAAAGTATGTTAAACGGAATTTTAAATACGGAATAGTCTACTTCTATAGAGTAGCATTCTATACTATGTTAAAGAAGATTTACATTGTATGTAACAGTGTATGTCCTTTTTAATGTTGGCTATAAATTTCATAAGAAATTTGACCACATATTTTACTGGATATAACATACTTTGCATATATATTTGTACATTAAAAAGTAGTTTGAATTGAAAATGATAATGCATATTATATAATATAATATAATATAATATATATATATATAATATGTATAAATATATTTAACGAGGTTTAGGTCAGTGAAAGTAATGACTAATAGCGAATTGGAGTGTACATTATCAATGACTGAGAGTACAAACACTCATAAATCTAGTTATATTTATACACTAAATACATTTAATGTATTTGAAGAATGCTTTTATAATTTTTATTTTATTAATTATGAATTAAACATGTAATTACCTCGCAAGATGTTTTTATTATTCTAAATACCTAAAATATATGTTTATCGTCTCGTGTATTGTTCGAAATTGTATCAACTTGAATTCTGTGTTAACGTGCTTAGTGGCAGTTTTACACAAGATATAAACTTCATTTAAATTTATTAGATGAACAAATAACACTTGTAACATAGTATAGTCCATGTGTAGTATTTGAGTCATCTAGAAATATTATATGTACATTTTATTTTCGATGCATGAAAAATTATGTAACTCTTATATATATATATATATATTTCTATATGTATATATTACCTAATGAATATATGCTTGTTGGAAATATGGGTATTTGACTATAATATTTAATAGTTGTTAATTTTGATAAACTTGACTGGGATGAAAGTGAAACTCTTCGTGCAGTAGGAATCCTGAAAATAATATATAGTTGTATCTATGTAAAAAGTATTATTACAATTATTATACTTACTCTTTATTTAAATTATTAATTGTCGAAACTGGAAGTGGAGCCTTTAAATTATAAATTATATTTTGATTTAAATTATAATTCTGTACAGGCGAGTTTTCACAAACGTATTGTTTAAAAGCACATTGAAATAAAGACCTTAAATCACTTGTACAACATTCTAAATTGTCTTGTAATAGTAACATAAATTCTAAACACACATGAATCTGTGCTAAACATATTAGTTTTTTCCTAAAATTATTATTTACAAACAATTATATGATGTAATTAAAAGTCATACCATAAAATTTTATTGTACGTACCTGTAGATATCAACTGTAAATTCACCATGTGAAACATTTTCTAATTTTTCTTGGATATCGTGCAAATCACAAAATCTTGAGCTCATTAAAATATATATATAATCTTTACATAATTTTTCAAAGCCCATGTCTATGACATATTCTAATGGTAAACTACCTGATAGTAAATGTGAAATTATTTTATGCTGATTCGAATCAGTGATAATTTTAGCAAATCTTGTTGAATTTGTTGAATTTACCTAATAAATGATATTAAATGTATTATAATAATTCATGTACATTTATGGAAAGATTTTTCTTAACAATTCTATACCTGTGCAAAACATTCATTCATTATAATTTCTTCCAAAACAGTATGTATACATTTTGTCATTTCAAAGTGATTTGGATTCTCTGTAAGTATTATAATCATTTAATGTATGAAAAATTACACACAGTGTCTTACATAAAATAAGTCATCTAAATATATTCTTCAATTATGATGAATAATGTGAAATTGAGCATCTGTAATCTGAATGAATATAAATTTCATGTTTAATTTTAAATTTGTGAGTCGAAAATTATTTCTAAACACGTTTAAATGTTAACTATGGAAGAAAAAATTGTACAATAGATATTGATGATCTTTAAAACTCAGACAATTATCTTGGAACACAAATGTTTTTTGCTACATATTTATCTTCTAATATCATTCAAATTAAAATATGTGTAAAATATAAATATATTTTTAAATATATTAATAATATTATAATTTACATTAACACACCTAAAGGGGCTACTAAGATGGCTTATTTTAGATGAGACATCCTGCACATAACATATATAGACTTGTGATTCTTACATAAGATATACTTACTAATCAGTAATTCCCATAAAAAGTCAGTAAGATCTAAATTATATCTAAATGGAAGATTCTTTAAACATTGTTTAATTTTTACACTATTCTCTACATTTTCTTCATCTACAAAATTGGTTTTATTTGCATCAGTATTGTCGAAACCTCTATAACTGTAATCTCCATTTAGCAATAGATATATATTTTCCACTATTCCTTTGTATTCCTGTTTTATAAAAAGTAATATTATTCACAATTTCCAGCACTCTACATATATTTAGAAAAATGACAGCTTAGTATACTTCTATGTATGGACTGGTGAAATCTTTGGGAAATTTCAGAGGTGACGGAGTATAAGGAGAATTTATGTTTTGTTTATAATCATCTACTATATTCAAATACTGATTTAATAGTAGCAATTGAATCCATAAATCTTTCAAAGGACTATTATTTGATCCTGTTACTACTTGAGCCACCTGAAATAAATATATACATACATGTGTAAGTATATAGCATAAGTAGCTCATTATATACAAAAAACATTAATTTTACCAAAACATTCTTTGTTGCTCTTGAGGGTGGATACAATGACAAATTGGAAGTATCCACTTCTATACTTAAACTACCTTCAAAGTTGCTTTTTACATTTTCATCCCAATTTATCAATTCTTCTCTTGTCCCACATATATCAAAAGTGTTAAATGCAGATATAGTAACCTGAATATGAAAGAATTATACATGAATAACAGAATAGTTATCATATAAGCATGTATAATAATTACATTATGCTCTTGTGCACGTGAAAATTTCAAATGTTGCTGAAGAAACAATAATGATGATTCTTCAATAGTTTCAAAAGTTTCATTATTAGCTGAACAAACTTCAATTGTAGTAAACCATTTTTCCTGAATACTTGCACCTAATAATCTACTTCGTTTATTATCATTTCCATCGCAAAGTGCAAATATTGGAGGTAAATTATTTGCAGTAAACTTGATGCATGCATTTAAAGCATTACTAAAATAAATATATACTGTTAGTATAATTAATTGAAACAAACTTGCAGTTTAATTGTCATTAGTTTACCATGCTTCCGTTCTGCTTAATGGTAAATATTTTTCTTCCTCTTTGTACCAACTTTTTTTTACTAAAATAATGCTATCCTCAAAATCAATTTTCTCAAAAGAATATTTTAGAGGTGATCCAGTAATATCAAATTCTGAAGCTATAATTTCAATAGATATATATTATTTAAACAAATAGATTGAAATATTATTTATTAAACTTACTATTTATTTGATTGTCATCACTATGTTCTAAATGATTATTACTAAATTCTGTATATCCCTGAAAATATACAATACAAGGATAATACGAATACTCCTTTAAAATTGCAATTCGTTTATAATGCTCATGACATACCTGTTGATATAAAATAATACAAGGAGAATTTTTATATTCAGGAAAAAGTAGAGTCACATATGATAAACAAAGTTTACTTATTTTTATAGACGGATTTAATATTTTCCTTAATATTTCAACTTCGTTCATTTTTGACAGTTATTTGAAATTTAATAATCACAATATTCATTTATAAGGATATGTACTTATTTCTTTGAGCCAAACTTATAATTTTCTCATTCTACTTGAAACAGTATATTACAAATATTTAAATTGGAATTTCAAACGCTTCTTAAAATCTTGCGTTCAAAAATACACGAAATGTCTCTCAACAAAGATCTAAGTTACTAGGGACTTTATATTAGTAAAAAAAACAGGAATTTTTAAATACAAAATTTCAAACATTTTCAACTTCCATTATATGGATTTGATAATAAAAATATATATATGTTATAGATGTGTTTGAAAATGAAATGTAATAAATCTACGTTTAAAAAAAATTGTGTATGTATAGTTATGGAGCAGAACGGCAGATAATCTTTAGTTGTGTTTTGGAACAATGCTAAGCATTCATTGTTCGTCGAGTCCTCTATCAGCCGTTTCGCGTTTGCGCTGCGTATAGTGAGTGACATCGATATGTCAATAATTGTAAAGTACGAAATTTTATAAAAAGTATATGATGTCGTAGAAGTACATCAAGATATTTGCAAAGTCATTGTAGTTGCGATAGTGATTAGGTTATGAAAAAGTCAAACAAATACTGGACAGGTGTGGGTAACATTTCAACAGTGTGTTTGTCCGAGGTGAAGAGGGACCGTGAGGACCTCGAAGACAGTCTTCCGACCTTTTACATGAAGGAACAGGATATTCCTGAATATTTGGAAGGCTGTGGTTTAACCACCTGTACAGCCGATATGCCCGAGGACGTCACTGTCCTGCGGGATAATAAAGAACAGATGAAAGAAAAAAAATTATCCTCCGCGTCCATAGCAGGTCCCGACACCAAGAAAACGGTAACTGTCAAGCATCCTGAATCTAACAAACCAAAGCCAACTACGAAGAAAGGCAAACCGATACAAGCCGACTTGGATGTTTCCAAAGAATTTATAAGATGTAGAGATGAGTGCGTGGAACGGCTGGATTTAAGTAAATCAAGCATCACACATCTGCCTAGTACTGTACGAGATTTGACGCATTTAGTCGAATTTTATCTATATGGTAACAAACTTGTAACCTTACCACCAGAAATTGGTTACCTTGCCAATTTGGAAACACTGGCTTTGAGTGAAAATTCCCTTACAAGTTTGCCAAGTACATTAGAAAACTTAAAGTCGTTAAGAGTACTCGATCTCAGGCATAATAAATTATGTGAAATACCTGATGTTGTTTATACATTAACTAATCTCACAACTCTGTATTTACGTTTCAATCGTGTCAGATATGTCAGCGACAACATAAAAAACTTGACAAATTTGACAATGCTGAGTTTGAGGGAAAACAAAATCAAGGAACTTCCAGCAGGTATTGGCAAGTTGATTAATTTGATAACATTCGATGTGTCTCATAACCACCTGGAGCATTTACCTGAAGAGATTGGAAATTGTGTCCAATTATCTACACTTGATTTGCAACACAACGAGCTTTTGGATATACCAGACACAATCGGGAACTTAACTTCTTTAACAAGATTAGGTCTTAGATATAATAGATTAACTAATATTCCAAAGTCATTGGCAAAGTGTAAATTAATGGATGAGTTTAGCGTGGAAGGAAATCAGGTGTCCCAACTGCCAGATGGTTTACTATCAAGTCTTTCTGACTTGACATCGATTACACTGTCCAGGAATGCCTTCACCGCATATCCATCAGGAGGACCAGCCCAGTTTACAAATGTTTATTCTATCAATCTTGAACATAATACGATTGATAAAATACCATATGGTATTTTCTCCAGAGCAAAAAACCTAACAAAATTAAATATGAAGGAAAACCAATTAACTGCTCTACCTTTAGATATTGGTACATGGGTCAAAATGGTTGAATTAAATTTAGGTACAAATCAGCTAACAAAAATTCCAGATGATATTAAATGCCTTCAAAGTTTAGAAATCTTAATACTTTCTAATAATTTGTTAAAACGTATTCCTGCCAGTATAGCAGACTTACGCAAACTCAGAGTTTTAGACCTTGAAGAAAATAAAATTGACTCTTTACCTAACGAAATTGGTTTCTTACGAGGCTTACAAAAATTAATTTTGCAAAGTAATCAGGTGACCACTTTGCCAAGAGCAATAGGTCACCTGACAAATTTAACGTATTTGAGCGTAGGAGAAAACAATCTTAATTACTTACCTGTAGAGATTGGTACGCTAGAAAATTTAGACTCATTGTATATAAATGATAATGCAAACTTACATAATTTGCCATTCGAATTAGCTCTATGCACAAATCTCAGTATTATGTCAATTGAAAATTGTCCGCTATCGCAAATCCCACCAGAAATAGTCGCTGGAGGCCCTTCCTTAGTAATTCAATTTTTAAAAATGCAAGGACCTTATCGATCTATGTAACAAAATTAGAGAATTGTCTCCTGTATGACCTAGATGTCGATTCTTAGTAACAGTGATACAGAAACAGATGATATTTGATACAAATATTTATTAACTTAATTTCTCACCGTAATGATCTCACATCAATGAAAATTATATGAATATTATCGATACATAATATATGAAAAATGCATATATTTGTATTCTCATAAAATGAATAACATACATCTGCGATACGTTTTCAATATAAAAAGAAGAAACATATGTACAGATATACTATGAAATTGGTGCTGAATTGGGAATATGCACAATGAGTGAAGAAGCTATAAAGGAATAAAACCATAATAAGATATTTTAGATACAGTAACAATATAAATTATATTGACATTTTTATTAATATAAAACATATGTAGTTTGATAATTCGTTCATTTATTTTGTTTTTTGTATGTATATTGTTTAGCAATATAATAAAATATAATAATAATTAATGTAATATATTTTAATTTGCATGTTATATGCTTTACATTACAGTTATTTTATAATTTCAGAAATTAATCTAGCATTTGAAATGTCATAACAAAAATCCCTTAAGTTTATCATTATATTATACACAGATACCTGAAAAATACTATCTTTAGACGTGTAATTATTATTTTGAAAACTGTATTAAATGTAACGAAGTGAGATAAGATTATTCAATTCAAGGGAGTATAAAATTAAGAATCGGCATCGATAAATAAAAATTTTCGTTACTAATATTCATTGCCATATGAATGAAACATTTTGTTGACAAAATTGTATTATAATATAAAGTTTGCGTAATATTAGTTATTTTACAACATGTCATTATCAATTGTGAACACAAGATTTAATTGTAAGAGATTTTGAAAGAAGCTGCTCTTCCAAAATATGAAAAATATCTACTTATATAATTTAGTGGATGGTAATGAATAATGTATTATATTATTTTTTTATTTCTAAGACTAAATGTAAACAATTTTATATTTAAGCACTTTAAAAAATGATAAAAAAAACGTATATCATGAAGAAAAGTATATGATAATAGAAGTACACTTTAATAGTAATTATTACTTTTGCATCTGCTACATAAGTTGCAATAATCAGTGGCAATTATAAACTATATTTAAATGTATACTCCTATAAAGCAGTTAAAGATAAAATGGCATACGTGTTCTTTTAATTAATTAGTAAGTTATAATTCTAATGTTAGTGCAATTAAAATTTATAATTGAATCATTAATGTGCTCTCATTCATTGAAAAAGCTGCCAAACATAAGCATAAAATTACTTAGTACTAGCATTGTATTCTTGTAACATTGTTTTTTGCTAAGTTCCATATGTAGTAGTTTATAATATAATTAAAACAATATTTCTTTTGATTGATAAATTTCTGTACTCACTGTGCACAAGTAAAGTGCCAATATAAATTATATACATATATACATATAAATTTAATTATATTATTATTTTTTACAATAATATACAAGTTTATATATAGATATATATATAAGATATACCTTTTGTATCAGACCTATAATACTTCATTTTATTTATAGGTAAGATCATATTGATTTTTTTAAACATACGACATGCTTTTACATACAACTCAATGAACAATATTGCTACACTATTTTGCCATTTTTAACATAATAGCTGAATTAGGAATATTTTTTCACAATTTGTTTATTATGCAATGGCTGTGCAATAAGAAATTTAAAAAATTAGCACTACATTACTTGTATAACTCTAAATGATATTATATTAATCTATTGTAAAATATAAAATAAACAAATATATTTTATCTTTTAATTAGTGTTATTAAAGAACATTGTTAAAATTGTTTATATATATCTATTATAGTAAATAGAAATTATAAGTATTAAAATATTTTAGTTGCCTTTGAATTTGTTAATGATTCTAGTATTTATATAAATGCTATTTTAATTTCATAAAATGCAAAAACATTGTATTTTAAATATTTGAAATATTTTAAATAATT